AATCAATCAATCAATCAATCAATCAATCAATCAATCAATCAATCAATCAATCAATCAATCAATCAATAAATAAATAAGTGATCAGTCTCCTCAATATAATTAACATCCATGTTATTTTACCATTGTTATTCATGACAGAGGTTCTTACAAGTTTCAGTGGAATACACTTATATATCAAAGATCACCCCCACTGTTAAATACCCATTGACTTTCTTACCAACCAACCAAATAAAAGCTCTATATTTTGATGCCTTGTATGAATATTTGCCATGTTATCTCTCTCTCTCTTATTATGTCCACGAAAGCTCACATTAAAATATAAGTTAGTCTTCAAGGTGCCACCACATTTTTGTCTATTTTATTTGTTCTTTTATTTTTATTTATTTTGTGTGGGTTTTTTGCTTTGTTCTCCCCCTGTAATTCTTTATATCTGTAATTAAGGCTAGCTTATGGCATCATGCCACTTGCAGAGACTCTGTGACACTCCAAGGTATGGTGGAGCAAATCCCTCTGATTTCATGCTTATTTGACCCTCCAAAAATATGGCGCTCTCTCAAAAATTGCTTAGGCTGCCTTGTCTTGGTGGGTTGGCCCTGCACTGTAGTATTTCAAATAAAAATTACAGAAATCGTGTGACTTAAAATGAGGATTATTTTGTGGCCTTATCTTTAATGCTGCCCTCAACTACTTCCAGCCATTCTTGTTGGAAAGAATCCACATGTGATAAATGTTTAAATATTCACATGCTTCAAACTGCTGGCACCAGCAAATAATTTGACAGCATTATATTGCACTGGTTGAAGCTTCTGAGAAGTTTTTTGATGCATCCTCATGTAGAAGGTGTGGCAGTGATGCAGCACAGATGTAACTGAAGCATGTGTGACTGTGGATGATGCATTGTTGCCAGAAAAAAGGCACCATTTATTAAACAGAACTCTTTCACCTTTTACTAAAGTGAGCAAATGCACTTTTAACCACAGCTGCCATTTGGGGAACCCAGGAGAGAAGCTGGATTCAGGAGTAGTCCCCCATTGGAAATCTGGTGGGTTTTTTTTTAAGTGGATAGCCACCCCATCCAAAATGGGCTAGATCCTTTTACTGACTTACTGATCCTAAGGGTCCTACTTGATTATATTGTTGGCATCACTTTGTGCTCTCTCAAAAGTGGTGGAAAACACTGTTTGTCATAGTACACTATTTTCCTCAGTTACATATTTTGCATTTAGTGTGCTTTGTTTTCTTGTTGGTCATTAGAATGTAAACATTCCCTTATTTCCCAGGTGTGATTGCTGAGACATGTATCTCTAAGGAAATTCCACTACAGGAGGGAAAATGCATTGACTGGAAGAAATATTAATTCCTCTAACATCTGTTTTGGCCCTTAGTCTTACTGACTGAGAACACTCTTGTTGTGCCACATCTACGTAGGTTAAATTCCAGTGTGTTAACCAATATTTAATCCTTTCATTCGTTCGTTTAGTCATGTCCGACTCTTTGTGACCCCATGGACCAGAGCACGCCACGCCCTCCTATCTTCCACTGCTTCCCGTAGTTGTGTCAATTTCATGTTGGTTGCTTCGCAGACACTGTCCAGCCATCTCATCCTCTTAATTAATCCTTTAATTAACTTTAATTAACATTGAAAGAGAGGGATAGAACACTCAGCAGAGAGGCTGTCTTTAAATTTCAAAAGCTGGAAGGAATGATTGGCTAGTGCTAGATAGACAGACAATCCCTCCAGCTCAGAAATGTGTCTCCCATTCAAACAACAGATAGCATACAAGGTTATAAAAAAAACCCCAGTAAAATTACTGGCAATGCCAAGCACCCAATAAGAAACCATAGTAAAGAAGCAGCTCAGAATAGCTCCTCCCTCTTGTGACAAACCCAGACCTACTGGGATATGCCACAGTTAACTAAGCTGCCACCAACCATTCCCTATAAGAAGTCACACAGACCAGGGATGGATTTTTAACAAATAAAAGAATAAGGTTTATTTAAAACAACACACAGGGAAAATAAAATGATCAGGTGAATAAGATATAGTAACGTGGCTT